GTAGATGTTTTCTTTGTGGCGACACTCAGAAACACGAGCATGTTGCATCCCGCAACGATAGCACACGAACTGTTTTCGAGCTTCACCTAGAGTCCGTGGTTTAGTAACTGCGTGAGCAGCATCGACGACTGGATGGGCAGTGAATTCACGTAGCTATTGCGAGATATTCTCCCTTTCGCGAATGATTTAACAAGCATTCTCCTACATGGTATCTGACTCGTACAAAAATCACCATTTTCCCGTGCACTTTCTTACAGAATCCCCGCAATTAAGCACTGTATTTTCATTTCTTCAAATTTGTCGGGCGGAATTTCACTGTATTTATACTCGGGAATAAACTGATAGGTATAAGCAATGAAGTCGCTGACGCTCTCGTTCGGTTTCTGTACAGGCTTTGAAAAGCATTATCTCGCAGTATAAACACTTGGTTTTAATCTCCACATTGTGGTATATTTATCCAAGGCCGATGTAATAGTGTCACAGTGTTCTACATATACTGCATCATAATATTGCTGGTCTTCATCTCCAAGCACTTGTCAGAATAGTCGTATTTTATGGGACTTTGAAAGTGAAATCATAGGATCAAAAACAGGCAGAAGTTTCAGGTATTCAATAAATGACTCCTTCCACCACACCTAGTTTGATAAGGTCGGTTTCTCCTCAGCGGAAGATCGAAAGTTAGCAGGTGGACTAATGAAAAGCGTTTATCCGGATCCCGTCGTTAATAATACGTAACGAATTCAAGCAAAGCACGCCCCCAGTCCGTAGTTAGGCAAGAACAAGACAGTACGGAACAAAGTGTATCAGCGAAGCAGTGCGAAATGGCTCACATGACACACGAGTTAAAGCATGAGTGAGGAACTATTGATTGATCAATGCGAGGAAAACCAATAAGAACGTGATGTCGCTGAACTAACTAATCAATATTATCGACGGATATAACAGTCATGAGATGGTTCACGAAATGGTCCGAATCTTAAAGAATGAGGCGAAGAGATCCGGTATCAAAATGAACGTAGATGAACTGAGCATGTCCGGGGTACCGTGCTAACAAAGAGGTGAAACATCGATCAAACCCGTTGCGAATGAACTCAAACCGGTCTCACAAGCATGGTTTAGGAGAGCTAACGAGATGTCTATCTGAGGTGAAGGCACACGTGAGCCGCGGAGTACCACGGCGAACAATGTCGGGTTGATACTCTTCGCAAGAAGCCGAATGCTTGCCTCATTTTGATGCCATCTGTGGCTATTTCGACCAGAGGTGATCCTATATTAAGAGCACGCCGAGGCCGCGTCTCTAGGGTTAGCAGATTTCAGGGCCTGCTCCACGAGCCTGCAAGCCAAAATCAGCTGATAGGCCGTAGTTCCTTTCACTTTTCTGTTTTGGATGATATACAATAGGCTGACGAATCAGGAAGTCGTTTTAAATTGCTGTCCTAGGGTCTCTTCACCGTTCGTCATTTCTCACTATCATCCAAGCAAACTACACCTTTTCCCGATTGATTGCATCCATGTTGGCGAATTCGCCAAACACAATCACAAGTTCCGCACAACAGTAACTAATCCACTCAACATTATTACACACCGAAGCACCTACATGTATATATACAAACCAACCCCAGCATGTCATGATTACTTTGTAATGTTCCAGTCCAATTACTTTTCATACGCGTGTGTATCATTCTGACCAAACCTCTTTAGGCGTATTTCGCATTGTCGTGAATATAATACTTATTTATTTAATGCAATTGGATTGCTCCCTAGGGATCTGATTTGCATCAGTAAGCTAATTGAACATAGTCCTTAACACATTTGAATTGCATCCGGTATCTTTTCGATGTACCATGCGCGCAATGTGCTTGGAATCGAGCCAGCCCAAACTAGACAGTGACGGTAGATGTACTATCACTTGCATGGATAGTGGGAGTTGATGGTGTGCGGCGAAGACGCGTGGGCCTTCTAACCTCCATTCAGCAACGAGTAACTACTCTGAAGTGACTTCCACGCAGGTTAGGGACACAACGTTGTCCAAACACGTGGTGCGATTGGGTGGAGGTTTGTATGAGTGTAAGTGGACTACCTTGTACGTAAATGCATGCTTTGCACGCGGCACCAATGGAGTAAGAGCTGCAAACCCGGCAATGCGACACCCCAGTAGCGACCCCATGGCAACTTTAGCGTTGTTTTTGAACCCGCAAGAGTTAGGACGATCTATCACGCTCGGGCTTCAAAGGGGCATGCGACTGCACTGTGTCCGAATAGCGATGCAAACACAGATGCATGACTGCGAATGATCGGGGCCTGTGATACCAAAATGTTATGACATGCTTACGAGTAAAGCGACGATAGAGGTCTGAGCAATTTGCCACTGAAATATGGGTTGACAAGTGGCCGCTTTGGGTAAGAGACGAAAGTTTTGAGTGGCACTCTGCTGAGAGGGCTGATGCCGAAATACGACTGCGGGTATTGTTGATATCAGCCGTGTAGGCAACGGAAGATCTGTGAACCCTTATTCGGAAGCAGTAGCCATACCATCCAACCCAAAGTAAGGTGAGGTGTTGGAGGGATAAATAGTATCTCTCAGGGGTTAATGTGTAGGCGCTCTCGGTGACGTCTACTTTGGGTGGTTCGTGGTACTAAATAAGTAAATAATGTATTTTGCATTCATCGAATCACACCAAATCAGGCTGCAGTACTGGTGATTAGCGAACGACTCATAGGCGCTACTTAAACACTGGTGCTAGCGCAGTCAACCGCATAGCTCTTAGAAAGGCTTGACAGTAAGCGACACATTGCTCTTTCGCATCCTGAGATTGATAAGTACCTTACATCCGAGGCGCTTTCTTACTCTATCTCACAGTAATTGTCCTCACGCAACCATATGTAATCTACAGCATTATGCAATTTCGAGCTATCCACAATAGTGCTTAACCTAACGATCAATAGAATGACCCCGCTTTTCTGCGGACGATAGTCCTGTTCGCAATACCAATTACGTGCCGATCCCCCCCCCTATCAACTAACCACCTACGTTACAAAACACATGAGCTCACACCATTAGCAGCGTTGTAGCTCTGCTTGCCAGGAATTATCGTGATACCTTCTGGTTGTCTCGCAATGACTAACGCGGAGGGTTGCGAAAACTCTGCCACATCACTTAGCATGAACGCTATCTTTTATACCTGAGCGTCGAAACAATGTCTTTGCGTTGCATAATAGGGACAATACCAGTTCAAATTATTTACATCTCTGACAACAAAAAAGAGGAATTTACAAATAGGTACAATGCATTGCGCCAGCGTAATTCTTACTCTTGTTATCTGTTATGTGTTGGTAGTGCTGAGAAGTCACTCAGCCTCGTGCCTGTGACACAATTTGCTGCAGGGAACATTCTCCAACCGATCTTGCAGACTACACCCACAAGATCTTCTTGAAGCATCCCGGAATATGTCTACCTCATAGCTTGTTTCACATATGCCTTTATGATGCTCTAAATGCCTTCAATTGGGTTCAGTGATGAAGACTACAAGTAGTTGAGTAGTTACTCGTTGCTGAATGGAGGTTAGAAGGCCCACGCGTCTTCGCCGCACACCATCAACTCCCACTATCCATGCAAGTGATAGTACATCTACCGTCACTGTCTAGTTTGGGCTGGCGCGATTCTATGCACATTGCGCGCATGGTGCATTGGAAAGATACCGGATGCAATTCAAATGTGTTAAGGACTATGTTCAATTGGCTTACTAATGCAAATCAGATCCCTAGGGAGCAATTCAATTGCACTATGGATGCAATTAATCAGGAAGGGGTATATTGATCAGAAACGATTGTGCTCGCAAAGCGCTTTCGAAACAACATCGATAGACATGGAGCGATTGCTACTTTCTGTTGTATCACGCATTTTTATCAAATCTGGTGGTGCATAGGTCCTCCATTTCTCTCAGATTTGCAGTTCAAGCTATCTTTCAATTTTGGAATCAAGTGATCGGTAACGTACAGTATGGAACGATCTCCCACACAACGGAATGTTTACAGCGTTTTCAACCTAACGTTTTGCTTGATCTGATCAACTATCGCGTTGATGACGGCTCACTAGGTTTGGCTATGCTTTTAGATGCAAACTAATCATATTTCAACCATTCGGCTGTTATGCAGATCAAGTAGGTAATAATCGCGATAGACACATTGACTCCCACGCGGATTGACATGTTCTCCAACTTAAAGCTGAATGAGGCGTTTTCACTCGTTTCATCGCAGCTTTGCAACTGGCTTTCAAGTGAGACCTCAGCTCTTTTATATTTTTTCGTATTCTACAAGTATACACACACTGGAAAGTTGGATCACATGCAATACTTCGTTGCAAAAGGATTAGTTGGCAGGGGCTACGTTCATCAGAAAAGAGGAGTAGGTTGGGCAGATAGCCAGTGACTGGATGACGAATTGTAGAAGTAGTCTGGTTTGAGGCTGCATTTTAATGGGTTGTTTTGACTGTTATGGTGGTGGCACAGAGCTTCAGATATGGAGTCGCGTTCCCAGTGTGTTGCTCTGTTGGTCTATCAGTTCTTTGTCTCCGAGGTCCTAGAGAATAATTTGGGCAACCACAGTGGGAGTTGAGTACCGGATGTTAAGGGGATGCTCAATGGACATATGTCTTTCGCTGCACTTCTTAGTTGCCTGCTTTCGTTTCGCCATCGTTTGTTTCTTGACACTTGTTTAAACGCATGATTCCTTTGCTTCGATTGGCTGGCCAATGTGGTTCATAATGAATGCTATCTCAGGGGTCTATTTCCGCTACTGCCATTTCTTTGAACACGCCTGATTGGTTCTTTCTTTTGCCACTACTCATTCGCCCGTATTATTCGGTGTTTCCTACACTTAGTTGGCTCCAAAGTGCTTTAGTATCTTTACTTCATAAACTATTATACCTTATATGAGGAAGTAGTTTTCTCATTCATACAACTCGATCCTGGCTCATCTTCGTGTTCTTCTTGCGGTTGTAGGGGTGTGAACAGCCAGCGACGACACAACGGTTTTTGACACCGGGGAAGTTGGCGATCCATGGATATCTCTTTTGAACTAGTGCAGGCGCTACTCGAGCAGCAGCAGATGCAATCCTAAAACTCGCAGCGGCAGCTCATCGAGTTGTTATCCCAAAAGCTGAACATTCAGGCCGAATCTCCAGAACCGGCATCATCACCTTCCGTGGACTATTTCGGCATCGAGTTCGGAGTTCATTTTCAACGGATTTATTGGTGTCACCTTCGAATTATGGTTCTAAAGGTACGAACTTATTTTCCGTGTCTAGTTGGCCGAACAGGATGATGCATGGAAAGTCTGTTTACTGTTGAGGAAACACGGATCCGTTGAACATGAACGGTATTCAAATTTCGTGTTACTCAAGGATCCAAGGGACTTCATTTTCGAGGAGACGGTGTAAACATTGACACAAATATTCGGTGAACAAGCGTTCTTATGCAATATCCGGTAAGACTGTTTAAAGTTGATCAAACGAGATGAACATGATTTCGTCGCACATACTGGTATCGTGAACCGAGAGTGTGAAGGTTTTAAACGGCACCATGCCAGCTTGTCAGTTCAAGTACCTTTTATTTTACGCAGTTCTCATTCCTCTGTGGACGCACGCGTATCCTTCACAAATTGGAATAAGAACCGCAGCTGACATTGCATGAGATTGCAGCTGAGTGCCAGAGGCAGCTGAATCTGTGACATGACACAAAATTAGTGGAAAATTTGAATTCGGGAAACGTGCCCCACGTCTGTCGCACAGCCGTTCGCAGTAAAAATTTGAATCGTAATTGCCGAATCAGAAGTCCCCACTGCGTGTTGGAACTGCGGCGACTGGCACTTTTCGAAATATTGTGAATACAAGAATCACCAGGGTCACAAATGTAAATGCATCGGTCATAAATAAACCAGCTGACGAGGACCGCACAACTTTAGACGCTTATTTACTCCAAGGGTTAGAGTAAACTCCAAGTTCATGAAGACCAGATTCCAGGACGTAAAGGCGAAAGTGATTCTTGCCGCATTTCGCACAGAATTCGCATACAACCGAAAATACCTGACTGTGAAACTCAACGATATTCTGGTATCGTTTCAGCTATAAACAGCGTCAGATATCACCTTCATTTTCTGATGGGCATTGGCCAAGCTGGGCGAACAGTCAAACATACAAGCCTCACAGATCAAAACGTATCAGGAAGACCCTTGTCGCTCTAAGGAGAAATCGACTATGAGCTCAAGTACAAACATTTGCAACTCCTTGGCATCAGGTAACTAGTTACTTGTACTGGTATTAATCTACTCGAAATGGACTGGATTGTTAAGCTAAATCTACTCGACGAGCCACTGAATCGTGTGTGTTCCGAAACAAATGTCGTAGTCAGCCATACTGCCATACCGACTTATTCCCGTGGAAGCCTCTCCGAATGCGCTTACGTCCTCCTATCTGAGCTAGGACACTACACATAAATGCAGGTAAAACTTACCCTATCTTACGATGCAAACGCATTATTTCGACTCAGACGTCCACTCACATACGCTTCACAATACTGGTGGAACAGGAGCTTGAATGGCTTCAACGAACTGGTGTGATCGAGCAAATCAGTTCCTCATCATAAGCTGCTCTCATTGTTGTGATCCAGATACCCAACAATACTATTTGCTTGTATGCCGACATCTCCACTGGGTTAGATGCTGCACTGCAGCCTCATCAATCCATACCTACTTCCACTCTCCGAGGACGTGTTTGCAAAGCTGAGTGAAGGAAAATATTTTGCTACCCTTGATTTCGCGGATGCTTATTTGCAATTTGAAGTTGAGTCAAATCTGCATACAGGAACCGCAACCTATCTAAATAAAATCATCATAATGGACCGAACGCATGATGAACGCCTTCAGCGCCTGGATGAGGTGATGCTAAAAATCAAAGACTACGGTTTGCATTTGCGCGGATAAACGCAAATGTTTGATGACGTCCATCAAGCTCTTGGGCATTGTGATCAAAACGGCCGAAGAGCGAATCCAGCTAACATAAATGCGATAGATCCGTAACTTGCATCAACTGATCTCACAACACTGAGATCATTCCTTAGGAATGTATGTAACGTTGGCACAACGGCTGAGACAACAATAACGGATGGACACCGTTCCGGACAGCTAGACCTGGCTATCGTGCCGCAAAAGGGAGATATATTGTTGAGGGGCCGCTATCAAGAATGCCTCGGGGGAGCTCTTCGGAGCTAGCTGAGAGCGGATCGAGAAGGACGGCTAGCGACGAGCCTGGGCCCGGAACTGCGGAGCGGGAATATGTGGACAGCGCAAGAAATCAGACATATACGCCGCTAGCTCAGCCCACAGGACCGAGTCCGAGCCGATTGGCACAGCCCAGAACAAGCAAGTCGAGAGCTCTCGAACGACTCCTGGCCGATCCAAATCGGGTGCAGAGAAGTGGAGATCTAGGCGAAAACAGCAAGGCAAGTCTTCCAAGTCAGAGCTCCCGAGGCGAAAGGACTGGCTCGTCGCTAACATCCGTACCTGTGTTGCGTTTTGGGACGGAAATCTAGTCGATATTCGATGGCGCGCGTGAGACCCTCATGTGCCCATTTTCGGTGTGCAATAAACGTCTACCCCCCTGTCGTGTCGTGCTCGCTACAATATTACTTCTGATTAATGAGCTCGGGGTTGGAGGGGAAACGGCGGGGATTAATAGACTCACAACACAAACGCCATTGAGGTCGCCTCCCAGCTGTGTCAACAGGTATATTCAGCTAAACGTGTTTATCGTCCTTCGGTCCCTAACCGGGGTGCCGAGAGGCTCCAACCGAGGCACACTTTAAGTAAATATTGTGTACATAAGTCAAATGCACGAACCGAAGTAAGAAGGTTGCTTCGGTAAACAAACTGCTGTAATCTGACAAGTGCTAAACTACGTGAGTACATCCAGTTGTCGTAAGGATAAGGATAAACCAGTAGGGAAGCAGATAAATATGCGCTTATGTGTTTATATCTGGGGTTGTCTGCATGTGTGTCTAGACTAGCCGTCAAGCATGCTGACCGAATACACAACACCATCTCTCCGCTTAATCATGTAATGCGTCGAAACCATATTGAATCGGTGGTCTTGGTTCTCAACCAGTCCTGCGGTGCTGCGTGTTTTGTGTAGTTTGATCAGTGAAGGTAGACATATCCTTCGTTCGTCTGGTACTTGTGAATAACCTCCATGCGTTGACTGTGCGACCATCTTCCAGCCGGTAAATGCCTGGCCCACATGCACGCGTTATTCTGATCGGGTATGATAACGTGTGCTGCCCTTTTGATGCAGCGTTTACCTTCACGCGCACGAATGTTCCGGGCTGGAGCGGAGTATTAAGCTTTCGTAAGTGTTCTGATATTAGTGGTGACGATCTAACTCGTCGGAATTACTGTTTGCAGTAATCGGAAGTGCGGTATTCAACTTAGTCCGAAGGGCACGCCCAAGCATGAGTTCATCTGGCGTTTTGTCTGTGGCTCGGTGGTGTGTGGTTCAGTAAGAAAATAGTGCTTGTAGAACTGCATCCTCCCAATCTGTACCAGATAAGCGAATAGTTCGGATACTCTCAATGATCGACTGCATCGCTCTACCATGTCATTTGCCGCTGGAGTATACGGAGTTGTACGTGAGTGTCTGATGGCGTGAACTTGTAGAAACGAAAGAAACTCGTGCCTTAGCAACTGCGGGCCGTTGTCCGTTACTATCTCCTGACAATCCGAAACGGGAAAACATGTGTTTCAGCCATCGAATAATGCTGGTAGTAGTCACCTCTCCACACAAATGAACTTCCGGCCATTTACTGTTAAAGCAGGTTGCAACCAAACAATTCCTTTGATGCTGAAGCGTTTAAATGGACCCATGATGTCAAGAGCTATCTTGGCTCACGGCCGCATAGGATAGTCAGTGGGTTGTATAGGGGAGGAAACCGGCCTTAAACTCTTGTCTGCCCTTTGACATGAAGAGCAGTCATGAACAAGTATTTCTATTTCGTGTGACATTCTTGGTCATCAGAAGCATGCATCAACCTTGCGTATTGTAGGAACGATACCAGGGTGGCTTTCGTGCGCACATAACATGATTTTTGCATCGAGCTCCGAGGAGCCACAAATTTTTCGTCGCGCATTAAACATCCATCTATAAGTGAAAGTTCGTGAGGCAACACGTAGTACGGATGAAACTCGCCTGTGATCTTGTTATTCTGTGGCCAGTCGTTTAACATAAACCCCTGAACGCGGCAGTGTCGTCTTCCTGAGTCGCCTTCTGGAGTTCTTCCTTAGCCAGGGCTGAGATTGGTTCATTACTCAGGGAAGACACCAGTAGCCTCTCATTATCATCCTCATTGTTTTCAGTTTTGTTGTGTGGCAGTTGAGGGAGCCCATCCACCACCTGGTTTTCGCGTCCGAGACGGAATTTAATTTGAAAATCGTATATTAACAATCGTGCATACCAGTGATGTATCCGAAGTGGTCTGATGCCATTTGTTCCCCGAGTAAGTAAGCTGGTTAGTGCTGCGTTGTCTGTACGAAGAGTGAAGGGTCTTCCGAACTAGACGAGTTCCACTTCTCACAGACCAAAGCGCGGACAAGGGTTTCTTTTTCCACCCACAGAGTAAGAAAGCTCTGCCGCCGACAATTTTCTGGAAGCGTATGCAATAACTCTTTCATGCCCATTTTGAATTTGGGGTAGTATAACACCCAACCCAATGTTTGTTGCATCAGTAGAGACAATACTTGGGCACGTCTCGTCGAAAATTGCCATGACTGGTGTGGAAGCAATGCGGCGTTTCATCTCATCAAATGCCTTGTGTTGAGGGTCACCCCAAACAAACACACATTTTTCCTTTGTCAGTTCACGCAGTGGCTCAGCAATATTCGTGAAATCCTGCAGGTAATGCAGGTTGTAATAACACATCCCTAGAAAATGCTTTATTTCGGCGGAGTTCTGTGGACGAGGAGCCTCGGTGTTTGCACGCGCATTGTCAAAACTCGGCTTCATACCGTCAGTTGTTATAATGTGGACCAGGAACACGATTTCACTAGCATTAAATTTGCACTTCTCGAGGTTTAACCGGAGATTAAGTTCATGTAGTCGACGTAACACAGCATGCAGTCGTGAATCATGTTCTCCTGGAGTCCAACCGAATATACAGATGTCGTCCATGCGT